TTGCAACTTTGAGCACGTAGTATAAGATTAAAATGTACAGGTTTCGATTAATATCGACTATCTATAGTTTCCCCAATGATGCCTTTTGGATAAAACTTAAGAGATTTGTCTACATGAATGCATCGAATTCGCTATAAAGAAAACTACCGGTGCTTTTCATATATTAATAAACCTGAGTTTGCGTATTGGTTGATACAATATAGTGACTTCACAATATCTAAGTCTGGTTTAACCAAAAAACTTAATAAACCACACTAACCTATATTAACTTTGTATTTAGGTAATCCTGTACCTGTATTTTAAAATTAAAATTTTATCCGGATCCTTTCAAGTGTGTTTATAGAATCGTTTAAATTATACCGTGATAATTATCACTAATATGCATAAAAACATTTGTACTGTTGATACTCATTATAAATATATCAATATATCGTCTATTTGTTTTAATGGCAAATAAGATATAAGTTATCGGTAATAGACTTGAAACTAGGTATCTTTACAAGGTCATAATACATTGTACCGTAAATAATAAATACTGTTAATATTGAGGTAAACCAGAATTTTTAATAAATTAAACTACATTTCCTTGATTTCTATAAACTCGTGAAAGAATATTCCGACTGACATACAGGTGTCATATCTAACACTTCTTCCACAAGTGGCGGAATCATTGACTTCGGCGTGTTTTCCATCGTATTCTTCATCATACTCTCCTTTAAGACATTTAAATCCATGATTACATTCATTAATCTCAAGAAACGCGACTTTGCCTCAAATTCCGATCGATACTTGAGTTGTAAATATCTAAGCAATAAATGCATATAAATGTGTTGTTGGAGTCTATATTGTGTGACAAATAAACATAATGTCAATCAATAGTATTAAGAATTAATGACAATTTTTGGAATTTCAATCGATAATGAAATATTAAAAATATAAAATAAAGCTATTTATAAATTACTTGATAACATCTCTATTAGCAAGGTTGGGACGATCCGGATTAAACAAAGTTATTGATGACATCTACGAAAATTATTTGTTTTAAATAAGTATAAGTTCTACGAATATCTATAATTTTAATCTAGTAAACTCTTATACCAAGTCTATTATTGTGTGATCGTTGTCCCAAATGGGTAATAGTTTGTGCAAAAACTTCATATATGGGTCATAAAAAATTTCAACGTTTTTCAAAAAATCCAATTTTAATACAATAAAATTATCCGGGCTCTATCAGGTACAAACAAATACAATAAATTAGCTTGCACCACAAATATAATCTAATGGCACAAACCATTGGAAATTTGAGAACATTATCCGTGTATTCAACAAACTTGATAGACCTCAAGAATATGACTTCAAAGCACCCGTACTTCAGTAGTGAGATCTGGTCCTCACAGTAGATATCTCTGAATGCGGACAACCCTTTCACAAAGTTTGTTAGATTTCTGATACATTTGTCAAATCTGGTGCCAATAGTTTGATGAAAGTCATACATATTGTCCAGATATTTGCTATTACTGCTAAACGGACTTCTCATACACCGGGCAGTTGTTATCAATTCATTCAATAAATAAGTTTCCCTTTCATTGAAACCAGTGTTGCATTCACTTAGAGTTCGCGCGATAGGTATCACCGAAACAGTAAACTCGACGGCTTTTTCTATTGTCTCATTTGACAGATTATAACCCGTTTGTGGAGTAATTTGATTGCTATTATTATATCCAATAATTTGTTGATTATTTTTAATGTAATCAAAATTTGTGTCCATAATATCATCAATGAAACCGTTGTTAACTGTACTTTCTATATTCCTAATCTGTTCGCTCAAGGCATTCTCACTGAAATTGTTGTCATCGAGTATTTCATATAAAATATCATTATTTGTGTTATTATTGGTGTTTGAGATGTGGTTTCCGTGCGATGTTTCCGGTGATGAGTCTATCAATGATTTTGTACTTTCATCGCTAGTATTATTGTATTGATTACTATCCCTCCGTATTTTGTTCGCTAATATCTTAAACTTTCTAAGCTCCCGTTCCACTTCATTCAATATCCAGTCCTTAATCAAACAAAACTTGTTTTAGTTATTTTAATTGCTATTTATTTCAATTCATTGAATACCCGTCTCATGCCAATGGCCAGGCATTTATCTAATCGACACTTTGAGCAAAACTTTCTGGTGATTGTATCAATATTGCATTTATTGTCAAAATTACATTTTAGCTACAAATTAATGTACCGGTTAATTTATTAAATTACTATTAAATATATAAAATTCAAATAATCTTACAGTATTTTTAAAGGCATTCCTCCTAAAATAGCTTTTACATGCTTCACACGATACGGCACCAAAATTTTTGCCTTAATATTTATATAGTATTAATTTATTTACTAGTAAGAATTTTAATAATGAATTTTAAAATTAATTAGTGTTTAAAAAAGTCATATCATACCCATTGCCTTATCCCCGCAAACAGCACATACTTTCGGTAATACTTTGTCACTCATATTAATTTGTACCGTAAATTAAAGTTATATGTATTTTATTCATGAATTTGTTTTGACATGTTTATATGGATGCGTATGCTTAATACATTAGTTAAATTATATTAAATTAAAATTTATATCAAGCTTAGATTTTGAACACTTTCTGACGAAATGTTAAAAATAATAAATTTTTCAATTCTGAATTGTTTATTTTTCGAGGTATTTTTTATTTTATACTTTATATTTCATTACTATGAATTTTCCAACGATTGGATTTCAAACAAAACAATTTCTATGAATAAAATTTATTGATATTATAGATTCTTGAAGTCAATGTATATAATAAATACAAATACAATAGTAAATACTCTATATTATAGAGTCTATAATATATACTCTATGATATATACTCTATAATATACTCTATTATAGAGTCTATAATAATACTGTAAATAACACACAATCTTGACAATACACTACAACTACAATAAAAATACAAAAGTAATCATAAAATCATGAAGAATATACAAAACTAAACGTTTTTGAATTATAGTTGGTTTTTGGGGATTTAAACACAACTAAAAATGTGTGCAAACTAATCAACTGTTTCATTGGATGGCTATTAAACTTAAATGCATTTGATTATCATTAGCACCAGAGTTTGCGTATAAGAGTTTAGGTTTTGATTTTTATATAGAATCGGGGATAAATTTTGTAAAACTTGTTTTTATTTTATTTTAATCCATAAGCGAATTAATTGTTTGTATTCAAGGTTAATGTGACAAACGATTAAATCTGTAAAAATATTTTTTTAAAATCTCTTTTCCTACATATTTTTATTTATGCTTTTATTATAAAAAGAAATTGTTTTTGATATAAAATTTTAGAAATAAGGAAACTTATTTAAAACCATTCCTGTATTTAAATTTATTCATACTTTTCAGACATAATTATGCTAGAAAATACCCTTATGTTCAATGAATTCACTACAAATCTAAATAATTAATTTGAATTTTTTTATGACTCATAATATTATTACATAATTCTGTGATATAATGGGCCATAAATAGCGTGAAATTGTTATAAACGCTTATAATTATGATAAGTGTTTGCATTCATACAAAACCACAAAAAAACAAATACACATTTTGTATAATATTGTGTCAATTGTTTATTTAAACTTAACACATATATAAAATTTATGATTGTATACATTATTTACTGTATAAAATAAATAATACTTTAGTAAATATCAATATATTTGTGCATACTTGTATTTATAGTTATATAAATGAGATTTTTAGAGATTTTTAACTACAAGTCCGATGAGATGGGAGATGGCATGAAATCAATTGAAGAGCTGTCCAACTCTACCGGTGCCGTAGGTTTGACATCAAACACCTCTTGCAAGAGTGGGGTCACAAGGGATGAGTTGCAGAGATGTAAAGTATGTTTCCTTTGCATCTCTCGCAGAATATTCACGTCATTCAATGTATTCATTAGTCTCAAGAACCGTGACTTAGCCTCACATTCCGATCGATACTTTAATATTAAGTAGCGCTGAAGTAAATACATATACATATGTTGTTGCACTCTATTATAACAAGACATATAAATAATTTATTGATTTTATAACAAATTAAATAAAAGTACAATAAGTCATTTACTTGACAACGTCTCTATTAATGAGATTAGGACGATCCGGATTAAATAATATAATCGCCAACATCTAGTTATACAGATTACGAAATATAGTAAATTATGGTGCTCATGTTTAAAGTAAAATTAAATAATACCAAATCTATAATAGCGATATCCGAGTCCCAAATGGGTGACATTTTGCTTAAATATCTAATAAACGAGTTGTAAACTTCGGGTTTAAATGATTTCAAAAACTCCAGTTTAACCATCAATCCATTTTCCTTATCCTGAAAAATGTCAAAAATTAATATGATTTATGAAACTAACAAACCCTCATCCGGGTAATATAATAGTATACCCAGGGCAGTCTCATACACTCTTCCTGATAGTCTACGTGCATAACTGTGCGCATCAGTAGCGCCTCAATGCAGCCATACTTGAGTAACGAGATCTTGTCCTCAGGAAGAATATTCTTGAATGCCGTCAACCCTTTGACACCACGCGTGAAGTTACGGATCCCTCTGTCAAACTTAAAGCTAACGGTGCGATCGAATTCCTCCATATTCGTGATCTCAAGCGTGATCTTAGTCAAGGGTTGGCCAATAATTTTGGTTGAATTGAATAATTCATTCAATAGATAGGATTCCGTGGCATTGAAGTCGTTGTGGTATTCACTGACAGGTCGGGCGATGGGAATGACCGCCAACTCAAACTCCACGGCCCTCTGAAGCACATCCATAGAAATTTCATTATTATCATCACTGGTCGGACAGGTGTTGGTGTCGTCCATACTATCGCTTTGGACGCCGTTTTCAATGTCCATAATCTGTTTGTTAAGCTCTTCGACGCTGAAGTTGTTGTCGTCGAGAATGTCGTATAAGAAGTCATTCCTATCGCACATCCCATTCATTGATGACTCGTCCAGGGATG